TCTTTCCCTGGAGAAACCAGGTGCAGGTTGCATTTTGCCTGCTGCAATTAATGATGCGTCAGATCTCTCCTCTTTGCTGTGCCCATGTCCCCATGGTCCACTGTTGTCCTCATCCAGGTTCTCCTGCAGACCCCCCGTCTCTGTCTGAGCAGGCTGTGACAGTAGGTGTGTGCAGTGAACACCCAGACTGGGGAGAATAACATAGTGTATTCTCACTAAGAGGTAAAATGTGTGTCTGAACTGAGAGGAGGCTGGAGCCACTTGCTGTGCAGTCAGCTGAAGTAAAATTCCTGTTCCTAAAGGAACCAGGAATGCACCCAGCAGAGCTGGGGACCTCGGTGCTCTGAACCACAGGCTTCCTCCTGCTCGGAGGGGTCAGAGCTGCAGTGAAGCTGTGTGGCTGATCTCTCACTGCTTTCATCCTGCTGCAACCCCTCTGCCTTCGTGGGACTGTCCTGACCCAAGACCAGCATCGCTGAGCGCAGAAGCTGGCCCATCCTCCCTGCGCACTACCATGAGCCTCGCATGAGCAGTATCTCCTCTAATGGACATTGCATGGTTACCGCCCTGAGCATGACAGTGTTGTTGCATGTGTTTCAAAGCATTGTCAACTTTATCCCAGACTGTCCTTGTATGTGTCCTTGCAGGAAAAGTTTCTTTTTCATCTGTTAACCTGGCTTCAGGGGTGTAGTGCATCCTCAATGAGTAAGGCATTTCCTAGAGTGCCCTTATCCCAGGTCAAGTTAAACCTATCGCAGGTTTTCTGAGCAACCAGTTGACCAGGCATAGCCAGCACTGAGCACCGGCAGAGTGTACAGACACCTCAGAGACACTGTCACACAATAAACCAGACCCACCTTGATGGCTGGGTGGTTCCTCCTTACTATTCGTATACTCAGCCCACGTAAAGTGAGAGCTGTGTTGCTGACAGGCTGCCTCAAAGGTTTTCTATTCAGCAGCTTTACAGTGGAAAATGTCTTCTTGTGATTATGCTTTAGAAATATATGAGTAGTTTATAAAACACAATAACCTGATCTTTTACTGAATAGTTAATCAACGACTGCCTTTGGGCAGGTCAGAAAGTAGCTGCAGTCACTTACAGCCCATTTTCCTTATGCGCTGACAGCCAGTGTATTCACACACTGCCCGTCGCTGCTAATGCTCTTCTGAGATCCATTAATCAACCATTAATCATCAATAAATAGTCCCGTAATATAACGTTTGACTGTTGGGGCTATTCTTGGACCTCCTAATGAGCTGATTTTTTTACATTCCCAGGAAGACATTTACCCAAAAAAAAAAAAAAAAAAAGGAAAAGTATGTCCTCATCCTGAATACATATGAAAGCCTATTGTACAGACTTAAGTAAATATTATCCTGGAATGTTTTTATTATTATTTTCTAGACACAACAGAAGATTGAGCTCAGTAGCAAAGACAGCCGTACCAGTCCAAGATGACTGATAGGACTAAAGCACATGAAAGCAACAGAAAAATTTATTCAAAAACAACTGTGTTTGCTTTCATCTTGTTTTTCTACACCCATTAGCAGAAAAAATAAGTCTAGGTGACCTCAGTCAGAAGGAAATGTTTTTCAAATACCTCCACTCACTTTTAATTACCAGGAAAAATAGCAGTTGAAAGAGAGCAGCAGCTTCAGTTTCCCTTTATCCAATTTAGTTTAGCATTTTGGACTGTAATCTGGCATCAGTTGCACTACCAAAAAAAACCCCCACATTTCGAGACTCACTTCATCTGAAAGATATTAGCAAGATGAGAGGAGTGGAAAACGTATTACAGGGAGTCACTGAGTACTTTTGAACCTATTTCCCTCCCTATTTTTAAGGTGAAGGAACTCCTTTTTTCCAGCTCCTCATGCATTTAAAGCTGAATTTGCTGAAACATTTGCAAAAAAATCCCTTTCCATTAAGAAACAATCCTGCTCTGACTTGGTAAGACCTAACATGTCTCATCCACTAGCAAAATCTCCAGCAATGCTGACTTTGGCCTCAAGTACACTCTTTGAATATTTACATTTCTTAAGTTTGAAAAGAATTCGGCTGCCATTGGAGTGCCCACAGCCCTCTTGTGGTCACAGTCTGGTTGAAGAGAGACACACGCAGTAAATACAGCTTGGTCGCGGGGCAGTGTCCAAAGCCTCTCCTTGGAACAGCCCTGGGAACTTGGCCATGTGCAGAAATTTCCCCATTTCAGAGAGAAGAAAGGAGGAGTCATGACCAGAGGTATAAAACTCATGTGGTCATAGCCTGAATGGTTTTTAGATGCAACCATACCCTTGGTTTTGTATTTCCAGAGCAGCTTGTGCTGATGATAGTCTTTGTGGAGACCAATGCTGGGCACCCCGCTCCATTGCCATTGACGCTCTCCTGTGTGCTACTAACCCTCACGCATGTGCCCTACTTTGCCACAGGCATCGCTGTGTTTCCTTTAGACCTTTAAAAGACATCCAAAGCCTTTGGTCACAGTAGCTGAGCTCAGGTTATGTTCTTCTTTTACGAGGAATGTGCCTGACATCAGCGGGATTAGGAGAGATGCATACCCGAGCCCAGACCGATGAGACCTGCCCTAAGCCTTTCCTCTAAACCGGAGTTGAAGCTTTGCTGGGTTTGAAGCTTTTCTCTTGGCTTTGGATCTCATTTCCATCCTGCTTCTCACCCTTCCTGCTTTGTGACAAAGAGTCCCGTGAAGTGAAGAGGTTCTCCTCTAACCTGAGACAGAGCAGTAAGGACAGAGAGCACTTGGGAGAAGGAAGGACCTGGTTGTCAAAGCCGTGGAGGTCCCTTCTGCAGGCACAAGAGATTTGGCTCAGCCCGATAACCCCGCTGCGGCTCTTGAAGGCCTTGCTGCTAGGTAGCATCACTCAGCCGTTTCCCGTGGCTTCCTTGAGTCAGTTCTCCCCCGGGCTTTGCCCTGCACCTGGGTGTGTGGAAGACGTGACCCCCAGGCCAGGTTGCGATGGCTGCCAACCACGCAGCAGGGCCTGCGGTCACTGTGGTGCCTTTCCTTCTCTTCTTCTGCAGAAGCCCAGCGCAGGCCGTACTACGCTGACTATTCCCCAGCGCGGAAGTACATTCACACCCTCTGCACCAGCCACTACCTCGACCTCTTCATCACATTCATCATCGGGGTCAACGTCATCACCATGTCGATGGAGCACTACAACCAGCCGAAGGTAAGCGCCGCCCAGCACCGTGTCGGCTGTGAGACACAGCAGCGTGGGGTAGCAGAGGTCCTGAGGATGATACGCTGTTCCCTTGGGATACCAGTGAGGTCTGCAGCCAGCCCTGGTTCCCCCGGACCATTCCCTGGTGTTGGAAAGCCTCGGCAGGCTCCAGACTTGGCATTGCATCCCATCTAACTCTAGGCCAGCTCTACATTCAGGAGTCCCTTGTCTCAGCCAAAAGCTTGATGTCCATGTTCTTGCAAAAAAAAAAAAAAAAAAAACAGAGAATAAGGCTAACAGAGAGTGAACTAAACTTTTCCTGGGAAAAGCCCAGTCCAAATATTTCCTCTCTTGATCCCAGACATGACTGACCCTCAGACCGTAAAACAGTCCAGAGCTGTAGAATACTCCACTAACAGATATAAACACGAAGTTAATGCATGCAGAGCGATGTTTCTTTTCCTCAATGAATTTAGAATAAACCAGCTCTTAAGCACAACCCTTCTTTTCTTTATGTGTCATAAAACCGTTCTTTCCCAAGAAGACCTTTGGCATGAATCACATAGCCTGGGCATGTGCCCCGTATATTCTTCTCCCATTGCTTTCCCATTCACAGAGCTGTAGGCTCAGTGTTGATTTTTCTGGCATTGCATGGTCTGCCGGCTAACCTGCAAATGCCACCTGGAAGCTAAGCCAGAGCGGCATCAAGCCACAGTGTGTTTTACGCCTGCTCACTCTGTGCTGTTCTTCCTCCATAATTCCTTTGCATAACAGCCTTTGTTTCGCATGTAAATGTTATTTATCCAGATCAGGTCTTATTTATACTTGTTTTATATTCATGTAGAACATAGTGGTGTAGATCTGAATGCAAACTATCACAAAAGATTGGAGAATTCAAGCTCGGGCAGTGAGTTTTGGATGAAACAGCAAATTGTGACATTCTTTTAAGGTAGATGGTTTATTTTAGGCGCTAGAACAAAAAACAGGGGTAGTAGTGCATTGAGGAATGCCAACACCTGAAAAACTTTCAGCTCTTGTTCCCAAAAAATCAGTGCATGCTCATGCCACATGTCTGGGGTTAGCAAAGCCCAGCCATCACACAGGAGTGACGAGGAGAGCTTTCCTGTCGCCTGAGGCTTCCTCTGCCAGCAAAGCAGACTTTGCTTTGCAGAATCCTCTATTGCATTTTATTTCCAGTTGTGTCTGGTTTGATGTTCATTGCTGTCATTTTCTTATTGTAAGAGACCTAGACTACACTTAACTAAATTCCCCTTCCCTCCCTCCTCTCCCCAAATCCATCCCCAACCAAAGAGCTGTTTCACCCTGCAACTGTCTATTTTAAGGTCCCAGCAAGATTCTTTTGCTATTGTTGGCCTCCAGTTCCAATGAAATCCGTTATAAACACTCATCATCCTAAACTATAAACACTGCGGATTCCTGACTTCCGAGAGCAGCTCTATAGAGAGCGTGAACATTGCACCAAATATGGACATACTTTGCCCAGCTCTAGAGATGTAACATTTTTTAAGAAGGCAAGATTCAATCCATCTCCAATATTATTTATTTTTCTGAGTGTTTTAAGCAAAGCCTTTGCCCTAAGGATTGCCATGCTGGAGTAAAGAAATGATCCATCAAGTCTTTTATTCTACCCCAAGGCTAGGCAGTTCAGATAGAAGTCAACTTTATTACATGGGGCAGCGGGAAAATTTTCTCTCTGACCCAAACTCTGAACAATTTGTGCACTGAAGCTGGAGGATTGATAGCTCTTGTCAGTTTTAGCATGGCTATATTAGTGCTTGTGAGGATTTTGTTTGCATTGGTGTTTAATCCTTTCTTTTGAGTTTTGCTGGGTGATTTAGTGCAGTTTTGTAACGGAGCACTGCAAGCTGTTATGACTTTACTCCTTCCATCTCTGTGCCTACGCCACCCTGGTGCCTGCCGATACCTCTGCAGGGGGTCTGGGAAAGGATAGCTTGGGCTGGTCTAACTGGTGTCTCTCTTTTCAGTCCCTGGATGAAGCTCTGAAGTACTGCAACTACGTGTTCACCATCGTTTTTGTGTTCGAGGCAGTTCTGAAGTTGGTGGCGTTTGGTTTTCGAAGGTTCTTTAAGGACAGGTGAGAGTATTTTCAACTCCCGTGCATTTGGGATAGAGCTGTCCTGACCCAGTTTCAGAGCCAGATGCTGGGTAAATGTGGCGTCACTGTGATAGTACTACATGCTGCGTGCAAGGAAGAGCAAAGGGCTGTCTCTCCATGGGTGCAAACTAAAAATTCTAAGAACTCCTGGTAATGCTTTGCAGAAGGAATTCAGGAAATCTTACAAAAGTCTACATACATTCTTTCCCTCAGCATCTGCCTCTCCACGGGCTCAGCTCAGAGGTTAGAAACAACCTGTTGGCATCAATCCAGTCCTCAAAAGAGTCATTTTGGCAACCTAGGGTCGCAGAGTCCCTCAGAACAAGTCTCCTTTGCAATCCAAACCAGCCCTTTGGTAGACTGCTGGCTTTGCAAAGCCTTTGGCAAAGACAGAGGTGGTTGTTTTCAGCCCCACTGCCTTCAGATCCTGGATGCAGAGACCTGCGGATCTTATTCTGCCTCCGGTTCAGCCAGAAGCAAATGTGTACGGAAGCACGTTGTGGTCTGGCAGCTTGCTGGGGAGCAGGGTAAGACTGGACACATTTCCACAAGATCAGCTTGTTTGCTTTGGTTATCCTGAGTGGTTGGAAGCCGCTATGAGCAGTATTACTGACAAGGGAAATTGTGTAGGAAGGACACTCGGTTTCTTCCCATTTTTCTAGTGCTGGTGTGGAAGCCCCTCTACAAGTGTTAGGCTATAAACCAATGAAGATACTCGAGTAATTCAAGAGACAGGTGATGTAACATGGGAGCCGCTGTATTGCATCACATCAAAGGTCCCTCTAGCCTAGTGGCTTGTCCCTGAGAGTGGCTTCAAGTGGATAGCAGGGGGATGATAGTGACCGAGAGGTAGGCAGGGACACATGGCTCAGAGCCTGTCTGTGCCAGCTGTGAGCTGATTCCGAACCACACAGAAGATGATGGGCCCAGATATGAGAGAGGAGAGGCATTTGGGATTTGCTTGTGCTTGTATTAACGGATAATTCTCTACTCTTGGGTGTCTGTCCACGTATGATTTTATTTTTCCTGTCCTTCCTCTCTTTGTCTGTTAGGTGGAATCAGCTGGATTTGGCCATAGTTCTCTTATCGATTGTGGGAATCACGCTGGAGGAAATCGAAATGAATGCTGCGCTGCCCATCAATCCCACAATAATACGCATCATGAGGGTGCTGAGAATAGCAAGAGGTACGGGCTGCTCCGTGGGTATCCAGCCATCCCTCCAGACACGTCAGGAAATGGTTTGGCCATTTGTTCTGGTTCTGCTGTTTCAGTCCGACTGGAGAACCGTTAGGTCTGAGGCTGCAAAATGTCAAGTCAGAGACAAGCTGGGTGGGGTTTTGTGGGCGTTTCCAGTGGCACCTTAGATGGGTCTGTAATTCAAACCTGGGATCACAGACCTTTTGTGCTGATACCAGACAAGAGTGGGAAGCGGTGGAGAAGGGAGGATCAGAGCTTGGGATGATGTTTGAGCAACCTGCTCTAGTGGAAAGTATCCCTGTCCATGGCAGGGGGGTGGAACTTGATGATGTTTAAGGTCCTTTCCAACCCAAACCATTCTATGATTCTGTGATACTATAAGTCCTCTGGCTTTTGTTCTGTTTTACTGATGTCCTCAACACGAATTGGTGTGGGAGGCAATCAGGATGCTCAGATATTCTGTGGGCCCTGCCAGGATGCACTGAGCTCGCCATCTGCATGAACAGAAGCGAGATGTAAAACCCTCCCTGCAAGATCTGAAGCTAGATTTCCTTTCTGGGTTTTGCTTGAGGTATTCCCCAGCCCTGCTGATCAGGATTTGATTCTCATTGTAGTGCTGAAACTGCTAAAAATGGCCACGGGGATGCGAGCGCTCCTGGACACAGTGGTACAAGCGCTTCCCCAGGTAAGCCCCCAGACTTCATCCATGCCCAGCGTGTTCCCCTTGGTGGACTGTGCCTTTCGGGCTTGGGGACAGCTGTATGCCACCACGTTTGGTGGGCATTAGAAGCCACCTGGGGAGGATATCAGCTTTTTCTGCTGCCACCAGTGCCTTGGTAGCAGAGTTTCGCACGGCACATCCTGCTCACAGTGTGTGTGTTAGATGGGAGAACCAGAATGATGGAAAAAGAGTTAACAGAGAGCCAGTGCTGTAGGCAGAGCTCTTATAAAACACAGATTTCACTGGCAAGTTCAGGAAACACAGGGATAGACAGAGAAAGCTGTTGGTGAAAGCATTGGAAGTGGACAGCTTCCAGCTCAGCAGTTTTCTTTGTGAGACAGGAGCAACCATGTTTATTGTCAGCTATTGACAGAGGAGCTGCAGGCTTTAAAAAGCAAATAGGGGAGATCCTTCTGAGTGTTAAAAGCCTGAAGTGGGGTCTCAAATCACCATATTCTCTTGAGCTGCAAGAAGAACAATGATGCTGCCAGCCTTAATGATACTTGATAGGATCCTTCAGGTGTTCAGTTCCTGGGACCACTTCTTTATTGATCCATTTATTTGAAAAAAAGAAGGAAATAAACTTTTTGCTGACTTGCACTCTTCCCTCAAAAAAGATCTAAAGCCCATCAGAAGAATTCCAAGAAATTTAGGGTTCCTTTGTTTTTAAAATCTGTTGCTATTTAAGCTGTGTTCTGCTAGTTTGTGGGTTTAATGGTCTGAGTCCTAATCCTTCAGTCTTTAGAGTCAGCTCAGCTGCCTACACTTTCCAGTTTCATATATCACCAGGATCCTATATCCCATCAGACTGTCCTGGAAACATTTACTGCCATGCTTTACCCAGAAGTGAGTACCAACATGAGGTGCCAGACCATCAAGAATGAGGCAGAGGAGCTCTGCAGCCTTCTTCTCGGAGCTGGCGGTTCAGAAGCAGCACTTTTAGGATGCACAGGCATGGTCAGATGAGCACCTTGATGAGCTTGATGAGCTTCAGCAATCCGCAGAGGAATTGCATCCCAAAGGTGGGATGATAGCACTGTGGCTTGGCCAAAAGCAGGCACCACATAGACATCTCTTCCAGAATATGAGTGGCCATGTGAGAGTCAGTAGAACTAGTACATTAATTACCCAAATATACCCCTATGAGTTAGTTGCTAAGTGCAAAAAAGCTCATAATTTACTAAAACTTAACTGGAAAGCAAGAAGAATTTCTTATTCTTGGAAAGACCCATTGACTTTTCATCACTGCTATGAAGATGTTTCTAATCTGAGACATTTCCTTTTCAGTGAGGGATTTTGGCTGAGACTAAACCATGGAATTTACCAACCTGACCCGTTTGGCATTTCAAGAAAGCATTTGATTTGTGTCTATTTTTTTTCTTTTGAAAGCGTTGTGATTACAGAGCATATTTTCTTTCTCTCTCCTTGTTTTCTCTCTGCCCCCCAAACAATAGGGTGGCTGCAGGCCAGGCTTTTTGTTTGGGGTGTTTTTGCAGTTTACATTCAAACCAAAGCCTCTTTTAAAGGGAAATCCCCAGGGATATTCCAAGCAGATCTTGTGTAGATAAAAATGCCATTTTGTCCTCCAGTGAAATTCAGAAAATGAGAAGGGAAGTTTGGGAAAACCGCTCCAACAACAATCACTCTTCATAAAGCTCCGGCTTTCATTTCAAAGGCAGGGGAAGAATTCCTAGTGCAATTAATTTAGCAGCCTAAAACCACAGCTGGAAAATCCTCATTGAATCGTTGAATGTGTCTGCTTAGTGACAAGAAAAATGAATTTATGTTTATTCATTAAGGTTTTGGGGGATCTTCTTTGTCTGGTGTATGTAGAATATCCATTTATGGCCTTACCATGACGAAGTATTGTCATGGCAATACACTTTTTTCTTTCTCTTTTGAGTTCTTTGCATCAGCCTCCTATTTGTTTTTATTCAGCAGCAGATATAGGTTGAGTAGCACTTGGAGAACCAACTATCCCCAGACTTGGGGGAATGTTAGCATTTTGATCCGAGATTGAAGTTGTCATGGTACAGGCTTAGTCTCATCTTCTGGAACTTCAGACTAACCTTGAGCTTCTGTTTTCAATGCAGGACTTCCTACCCTACTGCATCCTCCATTTCTGGTAACCTCGTGTCTACCAGGTCAGAGATCTTCTCCTCCACCATATCTCTGAAAAAAATGAGATGGAGTGGAGGAGAACAAATGAGGAGAGGCAAGAGAGACAGAAAATATGGTCAGGGAAAGATCTCAAAGTGGCACCTCCGTGCCTTCTTAGTCCCAGCAGATATTTGGGCTAGTGTGAGTCAATCATCACGTTCCTGCCATAGGCCATCTGTGCTTGTCCAGCGCTGGCTCCTCTACCCACTGCTGTGCAATCTTAAGGCAGTATCTGCTTTTCCAACCAGAATCCAAGTTTTTCGATTTCACAACTGGTTGACTCACAAGAGGTTGAACGAGTAGCGGGGCCATGGTCACCCAGAAGGTCGCTGCCAGCCTCAGCTCTGAAGGTGTGCCCTCATGGCATATCCTTTTGGAGAACAAACAAAATCTGTCGTGGACTTTAAAGTGCTAAAATCAGCTACACTGGAGTAAACCTGAAATAGATCCACTGCTTTAAACTGAGCAGCTAAAAGAGCTGGGCTAGCATGACCAGCACTGACTTCATCACTTTGACAGTCCTAATTAAGCCCATGCAGTGCTGCCGTTCGCAGCAGACCTGCTCCCAGCATAACACGAGCCACAGAGCTCTGTGCTGAACTGCAGCATGACTTTTAAAAGCCTCCTGGTTTTATTTTAAGGATGTGAAGTGTTGGGGATTGGCCATCCCCTACTGATGAAATACGTTCTTCTGGTAGGTGTTTACTCTTTCTGCTAAAAAAAAAACCAAAACAAATCTGTGTTTTTAGTCTTAATTAGCCAAGTTCGTTTTTTCACTGGATGTAATTTTGCTTTTTTCTTCTAGAACTTCTCCTTTTTGGAGGCAGTAAGAGATAAAATAATCTCTTGGAGTCTGTCAAACAGAAAAACACTGAACTCCCTTAATCTCTCAGCATGAAGCATGTTTTCAAGACCTGTTGCAAGGGTTTTCCTCTTCTTTATGAGCTCTAGCTCCATTAAAGCCATATAAAGAATTATACTGCTCTTAGGCTTCAGCTGAATATTCCCTTGCTGATGCATCTGGTGGCTGCATCGGTTTTGTAAGCAATGTCTGCTCTGCAGGACTCCTGTTGGATGGTAATTCTTTAGTCCTTTCCAAAGTACAATTCACCCTTTCTGTAGCACAGCCTGCACTTCCCTCTCGGGTTTGTAACTTGGCGTTTGGCTGGGTTAAAATGCTCGTTGTGTAAGTGAATCCACAGCCCAGCCTGTGCAGCACTTCTAGTATCGATCGCCAGTCAGAAAACCTGCTGAGCTGCCAGTGCTCTTCCTGATGGAGGGGACAGGGTGGAATCTGGTCCAGTTGTCATCCTGGCTTTGCAGGGCCAACAACAGTAAAAGGTGGAACTTTCCTATCAAAAGATCTGGGTTTGTTTTCCTTCTTTTTTCTCACTTGGTCGGTGGACAGCACATTAATTAAATGCAGGACTGTACAGTGTACCTCCTCTTTGTCTTCAAAGCTTGGAACTCCCCCCAGGTGGACTCTGTGCCAAGAAGAAAGCGAAGAACTCCTCGTTCCATCAGTGCCCTGAAGGACAGAGCCCGTAGTTTGCTTCTCTCCGGGGGTTTAACTCCTTGGTGCTGTAATTCCTGTGCTTATCTCAACTTCAGCTCTTGAAGACATTTGCTGGCACTGCATAACAGCCGTTATGGGACATAAACAATAACCTGCTTTTGCCAGACGCTGAAAACCCGCCATGACTGTGAAGCTCGGAGAGCAAGAACAGAAATGTCATACCAGCAAGCACTGCAGATGAGACAGATTCTGGAAGATGGGGGTGTGTGCTATGCTGCACACTGGAAAGAAGTGCAGAGATGCCAGGGATTTGAGTGGTGAAGCAGAAATCAGTGGGGCTGAGCAGATACACGGAAAGGGGAGCTCATGCGGTTCACTTGGTGGCCTTGTGGCTGCACCATGAGATGACTTTAGCCTCCAAGGTTGTCTGTCTGACCCTTTCCACTAGTCCTGGAATTTACACAAACAGCCTCCATTTTCCAAGCTGACAAACGTGGCCATTTTCTCTTGGGTCTAACACATAAGTTAGCCTGTGTCCTCCTGCTGCCAGGATTATTGCTTTGGCTGGAGAGGGCTGGAAGGAAGATGAGGAGGACTCCTGTCCTTGGAAAGGGTTGACGGGGCTTAGTTTGATGAGAAATTGCTCTTGACAGGCATCTCAGGGAGCTGTGTGCGTTGCCTGCATGGACAACTGAAGTGCCAAGGTGTGGGCCAGTGAAGCAGAAACAATTGATGCAGGAGCAGGAAGAGGCACAAGAGGAACCGTAGCGTGCTTCAGCCAGCTATTGCAGGAGTGGGGCAGCAGAAGACAGGAGGAATCACAGATATTTCCCAGTGTCTCCATCTTCTCTTGTGGCTTCTCTGAGGTACTTTAGGGCACCAAGAACATCTCCAAGATGTTCTTCATCTCTGCTTCACTCCCTACAGGCCACAGCCTCCCCTCAACACTGGAGCCACAGCAAATGATGGATAGCCCCTGGCTGCCAGAGAGAGAGGTTATCTGGAGTTTTCTCTGCCCAGCCAAAGGCACCAGCCCAAGTCAGGGGGAGTTTCATGGATAACACAGAGCGTGGGCTGACCTGCTCAGTGCTGCTAGAGCAGAACCACTTCTCAGAGCCTGCCTGGGTGACCGTCTGCCAAAGTTGAGGTTGCTGACCAGACCTGGATCAGTGTCCCTGATGGAGAGTCCAGCACAAGCCTCCCAGCCTTTGGCTGCTGGAGAAAAGTGCCTGGATTGCTCCTGCCCCCTCCCATTCCTGCCAGCAACATGATTCATGCACAATCTTTTTCTTGTCTGGTCTCAGTAGATCTCAGAGTGCTTTAGAGACATTAATGACCTATCCACAAGGGTATTACAAATGGCTACATTGAGTTACAGGAGAGGAATGACTCACTCAAGGTCACAGACACACATCTCATCTGCCTTCTCTGCTGCCCAGCAGCCGCTGGCTGCCCTCGCTGCCTCCACCTCAGCCCATGTCAAGAACGTGCCTTGGGTCCTCCTCTGTGCTCAGGCCTTGGTGAGGCCATGGGCTGAAGAGGACCTTCATTTCCTTTCCTGAGGGACATGTACCAGAGAGCCATGGGCTAGCACTGACAAAATATTAAATCTGGCACCGACTGGAACTGATTCAGTACAGCCAGAAATGGCACAAATAGACCGAGCGGTTTTGCTGAAGCACCTAAGCAAGAGGGGAGCCATTTTGCTCAGCTGCATTCTCTTGAGCATCGGGTGTTTGTGGGCTGCCCTCTCCAACTTCAGGAGCCACAAACTCCCCGCACATATCCACGTGGATGCTACATCTGCAGGGGGTGGTCAGGGCAGCAGGTTGTTGTGCACACGGGGAGAAGCTCTGGATGTCTAGTTACAGGTGGGATGGAGTTTAACGGTGAAGGTGGTCCCATCACCCATCCCAGGGTCTTTGACTTGCTGCTGTCTCCCACATCTCTCTTTCCCATAGCCATGTTTGCAAATCAGAGTCAGATGTTTGGTGACTTCCCAAGAGATCCTGTGCCTCAGCTGAGCTTTGGAACTGCCCATGTGTCTGCTCTCAGCCGAGGGCAGATGCAACCTTGGACACCAGCAAACATCACGTTAGCAAACGTGCCTCTCAGCGTTTTCAGAGTGTGCCTCTGGCTGTGGTGCCTTGAGCCTATACAGCAAACCCACGAGTGCAAACTGGTCTTTGAAGGACTTGTTATGAGACACGTTGGTTCAGTAGTGTAATTAGTCATGATCTTAAATACAGAATCTTTTACAAATGCACATTAGGTAGGAGGCAAATTGTTTATGAGCAAATGTAAGCTCATAACACGCTTTGCATGTTGAGAGATAGATAATAGTTTTGACTGATAACCTGGTAATAACTTTGATGTTAGTCTAAATTCTTTGGAATTTCATCAACGCCAAAAGTTTGCAGGCTGATTTATTAGGCATTAAAATAGCAGTAAAATATTCAGTTTATAGACTTCTTTGAAAAAAATCCAAGACCCTCTTCTGCAGTACTACAAAGTCAGGCTTTAATAGACACACAACCTAGAAAACTTGTTTATCGCTTTAATTTTCCTTCACTTTAATTATTTGCTCATTTGCCTCCCCAGCAGTGTGTGTGTCTGCATTTGCACGTGTGCCTCTTTTCTTGTGTTTTCTAATTTGCAGTCATCTTGCAGACTACCTTCTAATGTCGTACAAACCATCAGTGGTCCAGCAGACATGAGTTAGGAAATTCTATTCCAGAAGACAGTAGATGCAGATGAAATAATCTAGACCAGCCATCCACATCACTGTATTATCTCAATTATTCCCTGGAGTACGGTAATAACGTTAGTGCAATTGCAAAGCTCTATGTGGAGTAGCCAGTTGAGGCTTTACAGCAATTACAGTCTCCACTGGGTGATTCAACTATTCCCATTTCTTTAATACAAAAAAACCTACTTCATAAGTGATAGCTGTGTTAATTTTATGATAACAGGTCTCACACTGATAACCCTTCTAATGAAATTAAGCAGCATGGTCAAAATGCCCAGCAACCCTGGGGCTGTGCTGCCTCGGAGAAGAAAGCTCTCAAACCATAGAGTTCACTAGAAGATACCTTGAATCCATTGACCTGCCTACCTGAATCACCACCTAGTTCATTTTTATTTGGAGATCAAGTGATGCTTATGGCACCATGTCTAACTGGAGAACTCCATCATTCTGTCTCTGTTACAAGCTGTTTCAAAGTGGCAGGAAAGGTAAATGGGGACAGTTGCAGGTAAAATGCAGGTGGTCGGGTTACTCTGCCCTTCATGTTCTCCACCTGAATCACAAAAAATCTGATTTTGAGATGTTTTAAAGGCATCAGCCCCATGTGGTGATTGACTCCAGTGCGGATAACTGTCTTCCCACCGTTATGAAGAACCTGTGTGTTCACTTTAGCACCATTGCACTTCTGTGACCATCCCCGTCAGCCACCTCGCGGTGCGTGTTGCCACCCGACAGGAGCAGCCCACGCAGTGTGTTGGTATATGGATCAAGGCTTTTCTTTTGAGACACTGAAAACTAAAATTCAGGTAGCTGTTCTTGAGAAATATCTGTAAAGAGGCAAGGCTGGGAGAGCTTTACGTCTCACTGGAGCATGTGTTCCTTTGCTGGGAGCCCTCCAGGCCAGCGAAACCTTTGAAACCAGGCAGTTCCTCTTGTGGCTTGAGACATGGCTTGTTAACATCATTGGCTTGACACCCTCAGCCTTCGTGCTCAGTGTCAAACCTGGCCAACAGGAGGGAAAGGCCCTTAAAACTGAAACCAGAGCACCAGGTCACCTAAACTACCAACGCACTGAAGCACAGAGCCAAGTGCCGCTGAGGCTACGGCCACTAGTTGGCCAAATCACAAATGAAGCAGCATCTTCGTATTGGTGATGGAGAGGCAGCAGCCACCGAGACTGCTCTGCACATGGGAGCATCTGCTCCGTCCCTCGCACAGGAGACCTCTCTGGGTCTGTTAAAGCAGAACTGTGAAAGGGGAGCAGGGTGTTGGAAGCCAGGGGAGATGATGGTTAGCCTCTGGCCACCAGTCCCTCTTCTGCTTGTGTTTAAAATGTGATGGAACAATTTCATTCGTGACCTCAACTTGCCTGACCCTTGTTCTGCTTTCTCCTTGTGTAGGTAGGGAACCTTGGCCTACTTTTTATGCTCCTGTTTTTTATCTATGCTGCCCTGGGAGTGGAATTGTTTGGCAAGCTAGGTGAGTAATGTGCCTGACACTATTTGTTTCGTCCGGTTGATGTTTATTTGGTATCTAGCTGTTTCCTTTCTTCTCTCTCGCGTTCTCGGGCCTTCTTTAGCTTCACAGCTCATGGTCTGAAGATTTAAGTTTTCTCTTGATCTCAGGGTCACAGATGACACATGAGGATGTAATACAGAACTTGTCTAACGTGTGCACACACACATTTAGAGATTTGTCCAACACCACTGGTGGCTGTAGAGAAACTATTTACTATTTAAATAAAATTTTCCAGCATGGATATGTTCACAAAGATGGAAGTTTGCTACTTAAGACAGAACATGAGTCTGCAGAGCTGGATGGTAATCAGATTTGTGCTGGAGAGATGCCACCATAAACATGTCCTTCCTCAGAGCTTCCACCACGCTCCGTTAGTTCTCTGCACTTGGCCGACGTTGCTCTTCCAGCTGCCCAAGGCTTGTCTGTCCGTTCTTCTTCTCAGCATCACCTTCCCCTTTCTCCATAAATCAGGAAGCATCCACTGGTTCCTCATTGTCCAGCATCATTTATTCCTCCAGCTTGAGGATACTGTGTGGCTGATCACGAATGTGTCCAGCACTGAAAAGAAAATCAGGTGGAGTCAGAGAGAAAAGCCCCACCGTGCCCAGCTGAGCCGGGCCAGGGCAGCCACTGCCTTTAAACACGCTGCTCGAAGGCGATGTGTCTGCCTTCTCCATGTTTGCATCCCAATTAGGGCTTCAAGAGCATCAGAAGGGCCCTTCCTCCGCGGTGATTTTCTGGTTGTCATTAATCCCCTTTATGAGCCCAGCCTTCTGCTCGGATTACAAATGCCTGAAAGCAGAATATTTCTTTCAACCAAAGACAAATTATTTTTCAGTCTTCAACAAATTCTGGAAAAAAAAAATTTGGTTCTGCATCCACCCCAAATGAAATACTGTGAGGTCAGTATTACGTATCTAGATATATTGGTATGTATTTCCTCAGCCACAAAGGTGAAAAACGTCTTATTCACAGGGACACCTTCTGCTGCTCTGAATCCTTTTTGTGTTCCCACGCACACCCCTCACCAATGCCAGCCCCCAGGTAACCCCAGCGTGTGGTCAGGGAAAGCCCTGATCTCGTCCAGGGCACACTGCAGGCACCCAGCAGACCTCTTCCCATCCTGATTTAACTGGGAAATACTTTCACTTCTTTTTCCCAGTCACTGTGGTCCATGTCAGCCACAAAAACCATCAGTGCTCGTTCCCCCCCCAGGATTGGTTCATTTGTGGGTTTTTTTGGTTTTTTTTTTTGCTTTTTTGGTTTTCCTTCCTATTTGCCTCTGAAATAAATACCTAATAATGAAACGCCCTAGCAAGAGACATTGCTGCCTGTCCTGGTGAATATTTAATGAGCCTGTGTTTTATGGAGAGAGTGATATTTCATATGTTCGATTTACATTCATTAGTATATTAATTCTCAGGGGGAAAATGTCAAGTTGCTCCATTTTATCTCAGTGAAATATCCCTCATGGTAGATGTACTCTGTAAAAAATAATCAAGCCAAGGACATAATGAACAGGATAACAGACAAAGGACGCTGTAGAGCAGTATTTGTTGAGACCAGCAAGTCTGCTTGTTTCCACCTCCTTTCAGATGTGCCTGTGGCTCTCCCTGTTGGGGTAAAGTCAAGAGAATCACAGAAGTGGTGGTGGAAGAGGCCCCCAGCCAGCCCCCGGCTTAGAGGAGCTGTGGCTTTGTCTAGCCAAATCTTGAAAAATTCCAACAAAAACCTCTCTGGTGATGTGTCCCAGGGCTGTTTGGCCCTCCAGATGAAAACAACTTTCCTAACGTCCCACCTGGACCTCCTAAGCCACAGTGTGTTGCTGTCCATTACAGCCTCCACCGAGAAGAGTTTGGCTACATGATCCTTGCAGCTGCCCTTCAGTGGTTGCAGGCCACCAGGAGATCACCACTGAGCAGTCCCCCTGGTGCCACATATCAGTGGGACGTAGCTTGGGGTCTCACCACCGGGTTTCGGGCTGCTCTGAATAAGCGCTGGGGAAGATGGCTTTGTTGATGGGCTTCTGCTTCTCTCTCCTGTAGACTGCAGCGAAGAAAATCCTTGTGAAGGTCTGAGCCGGCACGCAACTTTCACCAACTTCGGCATGGCCTTTCTCACCCTCTTCAGGGTGTCAACTGGGGACAACTGGAATGGTATCATGAAGGTGTGTGCAGTCTCTGGTTGGGTACTTTCTTCTCTCTGTAGATGTATAGGTACAGATGTCAAAGTAATTTAGGCACTTCTTGTGTGAAAACAAAAAAGGGTTCCTTTTAAAACATCCAAATTAAACTTTCCCATTTAAAAGCCAAATGTATTTTCAAGGGATAATTTGTCCTAAATCTCGCCCAACCTGAAACTTCATTCTTTTTAACATATCCATAATACTTCAGGAAAATGATGCCAGTTCTTGTGGCTGAGAGGAGTAACCATGTGCTCTGTACCCTGTGCCTTTGGGACATAACACAATCCTCCTCTTTGTAGATGATGTAATTCCTGGTCTCTGTATTCTCTTCTGTCCGTTTTAGTTGTACCTACAAGCTGTTGTGTCTGGGATATGCAATTATGCGCTTTTCAGTCCTCAGCAGGTTCTCTTTGATGTTTCTGCATTTGGAGCCCAAGCAGAGCCCCAGCCCGTATCAGTCCCTCACCTCTCGCTCTCCGTTGCAGGACACTCTGCGGGAATGCACTCGGGAAGACAAGCACTGCCTCAGTTACCTGCCTGTCATCTCTCCCGTCTACTTCGTCACCTTCGTCCTCATCGCACAGTTCGTCCTGGTCAACGTGGTGGTGGCCGTGCTGATGAAGCACTTGGAGGAGAGCAACAAGGAGGCCAAGGAGGATGCGGAGATGGATGCTGAGATTGAGCTGGAGATGTCCAGGGGAGCCACCACCTCGGCCACCAGCGGGAGCAGGGGAGGTGCGGTGGCCCCGGAGAGCAGGGCACCCTGCAGAAGCCAGGAGACCACGAAGTCAGAGGCAGCGGTGCAGGTGAAGCACCAAGCCCTGGTAATAGTTCACACAAAGCGTCTGCTCTGGTGCT